AGAAATGTTTTGGAATCCAGAATGTGCAATGGTAATATGATATATGTCGTACATTGAGGGATAGAATATACATATTGGTCTCTGTCCTCAGTTTCTGACACAGGGCTCCTAAACCCTTGTAAATTCCTCAGTAAGAATCATTTAGTCTAATGAGGCAACTCTGGTGGGGCTCTTGGATGACTCCTGGATGGGGGCTGTCACCAGAATGACCAAACCATGATTAGAAGCTTGCAATTTTTTGCTTCCAGCCGCCACCCTTCAGAGAGGGGAGAAGAATGGAAATGGAGTTAATGATCGATCATGCTTGCTACCATAGTGAGGAAGCTACCATAAAAGACTGACAGGGGGTTCAGAGAGATTCCAGATTGCCCAACACATCCACACAGGGAAGATGATGCCCCCCAACTCCATAGGAATGGAAGCTCCTGCACTCAGGACCCTCCCAGGCTTCATCTGGCTATTCATCTGAATTCTTTCTCATACCCTTTAATATTCTGGTAAATGTAAGTCAGTGTTTCCTTGAGGTCTATGAGCTGCTCCAACAAATTAATTGGACCCAAGGAAGGGGTGGTTGGAACCTCTGATCTACAGCTGGTTGGTCAGAAGCACCTGGGCTTTCTACTGACCTCTGAAGGGGGCGAAGAAGGTGCAGTCTTGTGGGACCGAGCCCTTAACCTGTGGGATCTGATGCTATCACCAGGTAAATGGCGTCAGGACAAGTTGAATTCTTGGTCACCAGCTGGTATCTAAGAATTGCTTTTTGGTATGGGGAAAACATCTACATATTTGGTGATCCGAATTGTCAGAAGCAAAATGTTTTGCGTGGGTAGTGAGGGAGACTCGGCGGAGAGAAACACACACTAAGAACTGGGTTTTTCCCTAATAGGAAGGGAAAAAACTGAGAGTTTTAACTTTACACCTATATTACCCCAGTAGGGGCTTCTGGGACAACCCCGATAATCAAGCGTACTAATGTCCTTGCTTTATGAGTACTGTGCCTAAGGAATAAATGAAAACCATAAACACATCTACAAGGGTTAAGTCACTTTGGGCTGCCAAAGGAAATCAAGGTGTCAGCAGGGCTGGTCCCTTCTGAGGGCTGTGAGGGAAGAATTTGTTCCAGGCCTGACTCCTTGGCTCGTAGATGGCCCTCTTCACACTTACATGGCATTCTCTCTGTGTGTGCGAGCGTGTGTGTGTGCGTGTGTGTGTTTGTATCTCCAAATTTCCACTTTTTACAAAGACACCAGTCATATTGGATTAGGATCAAGTCCAATGACATTATTTTAACTTAATTACCTTTGTAAAGACCCTGTCTCCAAATACGGTCACATTCTGAGGTCCAGAGGGTTAGAAATTCAACATATGAATTGTGGGGAGAGCACAGTTCAACTCAGACTTTTATGCATACGATGAGACCACTGGGAAGTGACCAGGGTTCCAGGAAGTCCAGCTCTAAAACTTACACTGTCAACCACTCTACCTGTTATTGGATGTGTGACTTGGGCTAACCTCCCTGGGTCTCAGTTTCCTTGCTTATAAAATTGGAATAAAAATAGACTAGTACCTTCCTGATGGAGTCCTTGAAAAGCAGTTAGTGTCTGGGCCCAGTAAGCATTAATAAACGTCAACTATGGTTATTGTTCCTTTTGTAGGATTCCATCTGCAAACCTTGAGTCTTGGTAACATCTTACAGATGCTTGGGGCCCAAGCATCCTGGCTGTGGGATGCCCCCCAGGCCCAACAAAACCCAGAAAGCAGGACAGTCTCTCAGATCCCAAGGCCACCAGGAAAGACACCAACAGCCATGAGGCCCTGCATCCTTGGAGACTGCTATCTTAAAGGTCATTTGGTAGCACAGAACAGAAACGTCCCCAGAAAGAAAATCATGGGACACTGAAGTTTCTCATGGCCCCCAAGGAGAGATACTAGGTGTACTGGGTTGAATAGTGTCCCCTCCCAAGACTCATGTCCTCCATGGAACCTCAAATTATGACCTTATTTGGAAACAGGGTCTTTGCAGATGTAATTAAATTAAGATGAGGTCACCCTGGAATAACGTGGGCTCTACATCCAATATGACTTGTCCTTTTGGGAAGAGAAGAGAAACGAAGACAGAGACACACGGAGAGAAGGTGGCCGTGTGAAGATGGACGCAGAGATTGGAAGAGCGCAGCACTGAGCAAGGAGTACCAGGGCTGCGGGCAGCCGCCGGGAGCTGGGACAGGCAGGGGCGGGCCTTGGAGGCAGCATGGCCCTGCTGGCACCTTGATTTCGGACTTCTGACCTCCGGAACTGGGGCACAATACATGCCTGTCGTTTTAAGCCACTCAGTTTGTGCCCCTTTGTTAGAGCAGCCCTAGGAAACTGCAGGGTGGGGCAAGAGTAGGCTCGCAGTTGTTGGTATGAAAAATAATTAATAAATAGTAAAACAAGAATAAACTCTGTGTCTTGTGTATTCACAACTGTAAACCTACTTTTGGCCCACCCTGTGACAGGGTTAGGGCACCACGTGTGACCAGGAAGACGCAAGGAGGACACCCAGGTCCCTCCTCCGTCTCTCCAGGGCGCTGCGGTCTCACCTGCGAGTTCCCGGGCGCCTTGCAGCCCGCTCTCGGCGTCTGGGCCCCGCCGGGCTTCTCTCCCGCAGAGGCGCGAGCCCCTCGCCGCCTGAGGCCAGGCCCGCCCGCTCTCCCCGATTGGCCCAGCTTGAGTCACGTGTTCACCCCACGGGCTGGGCCGGGCAGAGGCATCACTTGGTGCCAAGGGTGTTATTCAATAGGCAGCCACCGGCGTAGCCAGACACTGGCCAATCAGATTTGACACTGGATCAAGAATTTGGGCAACTATCCTTTCTCCACCAACTCTAGGGATGCACCAAGGGTTAAGGTTTTGGATGCTTGGTCACAAGGCCCATCCTAGGGGTCCAGAGGAAGTATCCAGGAATGGAGACTGGTAGTAGCAGGTACTTGCCAACCAGTATGAAACAGGCTTAATAATATATAGTAATACCCATACTAGTGGGTATTAGCTCAATGTCAGCTCTGCCCACCCAGGAGGAGTAGAGATGGGCCAGGCAACTGCAATTCACCTCCACTTCCACATCTTCGCTGTCCATCCCCCACCCTTCTGGCCACTGCAGGCCGAACTCTCCCACCTCTGCCTCACTCACCCCTAATCCCTCTTCTTCTTTTTTGTTTTTTTTAATATGTCTTTATTGATTTCAGAGAGAGTAAGGGAGAGGAAGAGAGAGAAACATCAATGATGAGAGTCATTGATAAGCTGCCTCCTGCATGCCCCCTACTGGGGATCGAACCCTCAACCTGGGCATGTGCCCTGACGGGAAATCCAACCTCAATCTTCTGGATCATAGGCTGATGTTCAACCACTGAGCCACTCGGGTCAAGCCCCAGTTCCTCTTCTTAAGACCCATCACAGTCTGCTCTGTGGAGACTTTTCTGTCCACCCAGCCCCTTTTGTCCTAGATCTGTCAGGAGAGCCAGGGTCCAGCCAGTTATATGGACCAGTGGGCGGAAGTTCTGCATGAGGACAAAAATTATGGAGCACGGGGAACTGGCAGGCCTGGAGAGAGGGACAGCATGCTGGCACATGTTCCACAAGCAGCTCTCCAGAGGCGGAAAATGCAATCGTGTATCTATTATACATTTTATGGGCATAAATGATTGTGTAGCAAACCATTTTAGAATGAAATAGAGAGCATTCTTCATTGCAAATTCTATGTAGCCAGTTGATTCTCTACAGAATGCCTTAATCTTCCCCACTCTTGTCAACCCTGCGTGCCAGTGACAAACAAGTGAATATAGATTGTATTTTCCTTTAAAGACTAAGATAAAACAGACCAAAGACGTATGTCCACACTTCACTTGCTTGTGAAGACATGAGCAACTCCTTTACTAAATCAGGTAACGGTTTGAAAACACTCGAAGCAGACTTCCTAGATTTTTTGTGTGATATTCACAATGTAACAAGTCTCTGAGACAAGACACACTTTTAAGACTAGTCTACGTGTTTCTATCAGTTCCTCCATCACTTTCAGTCTAGATGACCCACAGGCAATACATCAAGCCCCAGCTTGTAGTGTTTGCTGATTCCCGTGGCTGATTCTGAGTTACCAGTGTGATGTCACTGTACAGAGCCAGCAAGCAATTTCCTGCAGAACTGCATTCTACAATATTTCCACCACACGCTTACAATAAAGGAAAATAACCGCAAGAGCATACATAACAGTAAAGTGGAAATGATAAAATCCTTAAAGCATAGGGTAGTTATGAGTCTCAAATAACACTCTCTGGTGTATAGTAAATGCTCAATACATAGTCATTGTTAAATTTTTAAACATTTTATTATCCAGTACCACGCACCATCTCACACTGCCCCCTGCCAAGTCACACCGAGTCATACACAATCAAAGCCACAGTGTCAAACCATTAGAAGTCAGCTTGCCAAAAGGTGGAGTTTTGGTCTGTCTTGTTCATGGCTGTGTCCTCAACACCTAAAACAGTGCCTGACACATAGTAGATGCTCAAAATACAAGTCGCATGAATGAATGAAACTCATACAACAAAGAATTCTGCAAACTCCTAAAAGCTAGCCCATAAATCCCAAAGGGGGGACTAGAAGTGAGTCTTTATTGCTCACATAATTAACATAAGTTAAGATTTGGCGGGGGGGCATTCTGTTTTGCTTACTGATGTTTCTCCAGCCCTGCACAGTACCTGGAATGTAGTAGGTGCTCAATAAATATAAGTTGAATAGATAAATATAAAGTCCACTGTCTGAGCTCAGGCTCATAATAAATACCAAGGGTTTGACTTGGGGCAGGAGTGATAGAGGGATCGGGGTAGTCCTTGAGGAGGGGGTAAGCAGCCAGAACCCCTGCCCAGCCTGGTGAGGTAGAGAAGCCAGGGCCCATCACCAGAGGCCCCACGGAAACAAGGCAGGATTCAGTCTCCCTGCAGCAAGTGGCAACCCCACCTGCCTCATGAAGGCTGTCCAGAGGGGAATCCAGCGGGGACCTTGGTGGCCACTTGGTAGAGTCCCAAGACTGTGGCACCTTGTGCAAGCTGCCAGGCAGGGTGCACCCCGTCCGCAGCACTGAGGTAGACACCTAGGCGCTGGCCAGCACCCAGGTGCAGCAGGCCACCCCGGAAACCAGATGCTGAGTCCGGGGTTTCAGAGGTTGGAGACGGCAGATCCAAGGTCAGGGCCAGAGCTGCAGTGCCTGTGCCCAGTGGCTGCAGGTGCAGGGCAATGGAGACCGAGCCAGAGCCAGCTCTGGCCACCACACGTTGCAGTTTCACGTGCAAGAAGACATAGTAGATGCCAGCCTCAGACACCACCAGCTCCTGCGTGTGCTCGTCGTAACTCAGGCCGGGGGCCAGGAACACGCCTCTGAAGCCAGGGTCACTGTACCAGTGCAGGAGCCCTCCCTCCAGCAGCACTGCGGGGAGGAGGGGGAGGGGTTATGCTGAGCAAGGATGTGGGCAGGGGCACAGCCTGGGGAAGGGGGGTGGGGCTCTGAGGACCCGAGAGGTTCCCAGAGGG